TTCTCACCAACTGACTTTAACCTTCCTAGTTTTTCTACCTCAGTTCCTGATGAGATTCTGAGCTTCAGGACAGCAGGAACCTTTGTTTATTTAATTATTTCTCATCAACCACTGTGCCAAACAAGGTTGTGAATGGAGTATATGTCCAACAAAGATATGTTGTTTGGTTGGTTATTTGTTTGGTTGGATGAATGAATAGGTATGGAATCCAAGATGAGATAGGTAGGATGGATTCAGACATGAGATGGCCACTGTGAAGAGCTTGACTTTAATCCTATAGGTTAAAAGAGACTAACAGTTTATTGGAAGCAAAGAACAATCTATCATAGAAATGTATTTTTCTGCCTTCAAAATCCTCAAGGGAATCCACCACTACCATCATGCATGCACATAAACACACATAACATTTTTAGCAATAGTCCTCCGCACACTAAACCCCATGAGGGTTTCTTGGCAGCATCATAAGAAGGCTGGAACCAGATAGGGTCAACCAGATTACTCTTCTCATGGGTGGCTTGTCTGTGCTGCTGTCTTGGTGAGTAAGTCAGTCTGGGTTAGTAGCAGAGGATTAAAAATAGGATAGCCTTAGTGGAATGGGGGGGCCAGGACTAATGAAAGTCGGCCAGGATTAAGCATCAATTTGTCACATTAGGCATGCATGGGAGAAGTTGAGTGACAGTAGTATTGCATATGTACAGTCTGGGCTGAGTCTTATCTGGTATGTAGTCCAAGGGAACAAGGGAGAAAAAGAATAAAGCAGTTATAGTTAGGATGGGTTGATAGCTGAGATGGGAACTATATGACAAGAGACTGGTAGAAACACAGGGAGGGATTGCTTTGGATTACAAAAGTAAAGAGGAAGGTGGATGGCAGGGTGTCTTACTTTGAGGGTCATTCTCTATAGAGAGGTGGGAGTGGGAGAACGGGGGCTGGTAATTATGAAAGAAAATTGCCTGAAAGTAAGAGCATTAGAGAAGATATAAGCCTTTATTCTGGGGAAAAGATGAAGAGAAAGGACCTGACTTCATGAACTACCTTGTGGACTTAAGTCTCTCAGAGTGATGGTGTGAGAGTTGTAAGGTACTTAAAAGACCTGAACATATAGATTCTGTAATGGTGCTAGATCTTTGCCTGATGGAAAAGAAGGGATGGTGATGCCCTCAGCTGGCTCTGTGCCTTTTTAGAATCCCAATGTTTAGATTAGGAGGGAACTTTAAATATCACCTTTCCAACTTTCACATTTTATAAGTGAAGAAGCTGAGGGAGAGATTAAATGGTTTACCCAAAGGTAGTAATTAGCACAGCCAGGGTTTGAACCCAGGTCTGTCAGAGTTCTGACACTACAAAGGACTTCAAAAACCATCTTGCCCAATCATCTTAATATTGCAAAGGAAGAAATTGAGATTCAGGGACACTGATTACCTTACCCAAGGTCAAACAGCTAAGCATCAGAGGCAGGATATGAACCAAAATCCCTTCAGTGTTTTGTGACTCCAAATTCAGGGTTATTTTATAACACAGCTGTCTTCCTCCTCCTCACCTCCTAACCTCATCCCAATTACTGACACTCCATTTCATCAAACTCTTTCTCTCTTTTCCTCCTCCCATCCAAACTCTTTTTAGTACTGAGTTTAGTATCAATCACTTGTGCCTCAGAGAGAATCAGATTCTTAAGTTGCTATGCCCCCCTTCCTGGGATTTGTAATGTAATCCCCATGAGTCCTTGAGGAATAAAAGACTCCACCGTGGGGAAGGGTTTCCAGGGCTCAGGTGATAGTTTGGGAAGAGACTGAGAGGCAGAGAACCTTCCCTCCTAGACGTGAAGACTGCTTTGATGTATAGTAGCCCCTCCTCCTCAGACCTGAGAATGACAGGTTTGTTCAGATGGTGCAAATGGGGGACAGTCCCAAACTGGGGAATGGGACCTGGGGAAGGATGTTGGACTAAGGGACAGGGGAAAGGAGACAGACTTTATAGATATTAAAAAAGAGACCACTGCAGTTAGAGTCAGAAGATGAGGGTCCAGTTCCTTGGCTCTTAACCTTAGGATCATAGATATTGAGCTAAAATGGACTTCAGAGGTCATCTAGTTCAACCCCCTCATTTGACAATGAAGGAATCTGAGAAGTGGGCAGTTTAAATAACATGTGCAGTATCACAAAGCTATTTGTCAAAGGCGGGATTTGAATCCAGTACTCTGATTCCAGAGTTAGTTCTCTTTCCCTCCAAAGTCAGTTTCTTCTTCTGTAAAATAAATGTATTATAAGTACTTACATCTCAGGGTGATAGTGAGGATCAAAAGGGTTTATATTCCTAAAGTGTTTTCAAACCTTTAAAGTCCTATATAAATGCTGACTAGCTAGTGGTAGTAGTAATAGCAGTAGCAGCAGCAGTAATAACAATAATAATTAGCCAGTAGGTGGCGTAGTGAATAGAGAACTGGAGCAGGAATCGGGAACGCCTGAAATCCAATATAGCCTTAAGTATTTACAATCTGTGTGACCCTGAGCAAGCCAGTTAACTTCTAACTGCCTCACTTGGCTCATTTGTAAAATGGTGATGATAATAGCACCTACCTCCTAGGTTTGTTGTGAGAAGAAAATTGGGAAATCATTGTAAAGTGCAAAGCTCTATGTAAATTTAAGCTATTTTTATTATCATTGTTTTTAGTGTTAGTGTTGCTGTTGTTATGAATAAACTCATCGGCAAACATTTATTAAATTCATCCTGGCATATGTCGGGCACTGTGCTAATAAAAATAATAGTTATTATCATTGTCATTATTGCTAATATTATTATAGCCTACCATACCATGCTGTGGCAAACGCAAAATAATAGTAGCTCGCTTTTACATAGTACTTTAAGGTTAACAAAAGTGCCTTACATACATTATCTTCTCTAATGCTCTCAATGTCCCTGTCAAGTAGGTGACATTTTACTCACTTTATATATGAAAAGTTAAAAGATTTGTCCTTGATCACACAACAAGTAAGTGTCTTACTCAGGATTTGAACCCATGTCTTTGCAGGTCCATTATTCCATCCACTCTACCATACTACTTCCCACCTGGGTGGGAGGTGGGGATGGAGGGAGTATTTGAACTACATGATCACTAAGGGCCCTTCTGGCACTGACTAGTTCTATGGATAGTTCCTGAGAACTCACAATCATCTCTGAACCTCCTTTTCCAAATCCTCAAGTTCCCCCATCTGAGGAATCAAGGTCTTTTTACTTCATCCTTCATTTCATCTCCAATCCTTCTTCTTTGAGGCAAAATGATTGGATTTCCCACTGCAGCTACACAAATATAGGAAGCACCTCTAAGAGCAGCAGTTCAGAGACAAGGAGATGGAAATGTACACAGGAACCCTGGCACTGAAAGAGACCTTCAAAAGTTATTTCATTTCTGCTCCTGCTTCCAGGATAGCTGGCCCCTACAGCACTGCTGAAAGGTGAGAATCTACTCTAATCATAACTCCTGGCCTACTAAGTAAGGGCATGGACCTCTCCCCATCAGGAATGCATGAATTCTCCAATGCAAACCTTAATCCTTGAGGCTGCTAGCTTGTTTTCTCTTGTTCAAGTCCCGGAGAATATAGACCCCATCTGGGTCACCATTCTCCATCTGTTAAGTCCCTGGCACCTTGGAGACTATTAGACAAAAAAGCTGAAGGTAAAAAGAGCCAGGGATAGTTGGGGGAGGCCAGAGGAAAGTATTTCTGTGGTTATATCATTTGAGGAGGGCACCAATAAAAGGAAGAATGCCTTGAGGATGAAATATATGACAGGATAATATAGTACTGGTGTTTCTTTCCTGAAAGCAAAATCCTAAGTGACTTCTGCTTTCCTGGTAACAACAAGGAAGAGCAGACATTTCAGCTTGTCCTTTGATCACTACAAGAAGGAACAAAGAGGAAAGGACAGAAGTGGGTCACTGAATCCTCATTCAACTGTAGGAGAACATCAAGGAGGTCTCACTCAAAGGATCACAGCAGGAAGGATTAGGCAATGAGGGCCAGTGGTAAGAGAATCTTAATAGGAGGACAAATTAATTACAAATTAATTCAATAAATATCTTCTAAGTGCCTTGATAGATAGGTGGCAACTGTCAGTTCTGTAGAAAAGAATCAGGCACTGTTCCTACTCACAAAAAAACTTATACTTTTATGTGATGATATATGGACATTGCAAAGATGTAATCCCAACTAGTCATATTCTTCTCAGTTTCCAAACTTACCCACTTCCTGAGATAACCATTTTTGTTTGTATGTTTGAATAGGAGAGTGATATGATCAAACCGTGCTTTAGGAAGATGAATCTAGCCATGACTTCCACGAAAGATTAGAGTCAGGGAAACCAGATAGGAGCCTGCTCTAATAGTTTATGAAGTTTATAATCAGTCTCGAATTGGATGGAAACCATGAAAATGAAAAGTGGTTGAAATGTGAGCAAAGTCTTCCTTCCAGGACTCCATACAAGGTATAGCTGTCATTTTAACAACCCTTACTCTCTAAGAATTCTCACAGGTCGACCCTTCCATTCAGCATCTCAACACAAGGCAAATGGTAGTGGTGTGCTTTTGTTGCTATATGGAGGGCAAGGTACACTCCAAACATCAACATAATAAGCAGAAGCCAGCCTGCAAAATTGCCAGATAGTGTCCATACTTCAAATTCTCTCCTTCACCCAAGTGTTTATGTCTGAAACTGATTGATCAGAAGCTCTTTCCTTTGAGGTAAGTATTTCTCTCCTTGAGCTACTATTTAAAACAAAAATGACTATAGGAAGTCAATACATTAGTAAGAATCAGTTCATCTGATGTTATTTCCTATGACATGGCCCCGGGAGGTTCCAGGATCATGGAAGAAGAAAAGAAAAGATTAGAAGATGCAAGAACACTGGAAAGAGGCAGCTGGGTCTGCTCTCCCTAATTATTTCCTTTTGTATCCTGCAGGCACTGTGATCTTACCCCCTTCTTCAGGCTCTGTCTCTTACTACCAACTATGAACCCCTGTAACTTTACCCACACCACTTTCATTCTTATGGGCCTCCCAGGACTGGAAGCTGCCCAGTTCTGGATCGCCTTCCCTCTTCTGTTCATGTATATTGTGGCAGTGCTGGGCAACTGCACAGTGGTTTTCATTGTGAGAACAGAACATAGCCTACATGCCCCCATGTACCTCTTCCTTTGCATGCTGGCAGCTATTGACCTGGCGCTCTCCACCTTCACAATGCCCAAGATCCTTGCTCTATTCTGGTTCAACTCTCAGGAGATCACCTTTGATATGTGTCTCACCCAGATGTTCTTCATCCATGCTCTTTCAGCCACAGAGTCCACTGTACTCTTGGCCATGGCCTTTGACCGTTATGTGGCCATCTGCCACCCTCTTCGGCATGCGGCTATACTCACCAACACTGTCACAGCTCAGATAGGCATAGTAGCTGTGGTGAGGGGCTCCCTTTTCTTCCTTCCACTACCACTGCTCATCAAGAGGCTTCATTTATGTGGCTCAAACGTCCTTACCCATTCCTATTGTGTGCACCAAGACATGATGAAGCTGGCCCATGCTGACACCATGCCCAATGTGGTTTATGGGCTCACTGCCATCCTGCTGGTTATGGGTGTTGATGTGGTGCTCATCTCACTCTCTTACTTCCTGATCATACATACTGTGCTACAGTTGCCGTCTCGGACAGAACGGGCAAGGGCCTTTGGAACCTGTGTCTCACACATTGGTGTGGTTCTAGCATTTTATGTACCACTAATTGGTCTATCTGTGGTGCACCGCTTTGGAAACAGCCTCAACCCCATTGTACATGTGCTCATGGGTAATGTCTACCTAATGGTGCCACCTGTCATCAATCCTATCATCTATGCTGCCAAGACCAAGCAGATCCGCTACCGGGTACTGGCCATGTTCAAGGTCACCTGTGACAAGGAGCTTCAGGCTGTTGGGAGCAGCTGACACCTTTTACATGGATATCTTATGTCCCCATGGTGGCTTCCTCTCAACCACCTGGAAATATAGATTCTCTAATGGATTTCTGTGTTCATAAGTGCATCAGAACTGTCAGAATAGTACAGTGGAAAGAGCACTAGCTCTGGTGTTACAGAACAAGAAATTGCTCTCTGAATTTCATTTCTCTGTCTTCTGCAATAGGGATGCACAATCTTGCTTGCACTCCTTCCCCTAGGGTAGTTATGAGATCCAAATGATATCTTAAGTCATGTGCTCTTTGACCCTAGAAAATACATAATACTAAAGAACATAATACTAAAATACTAAATACATAATACTAAAGAACTCTAGAAATATTTAAGTTAGTGCTTCAAAAATTATTTGGTTTTGTGATTTAAGAAGGCAGCATGACCTTGTAGGGCTGATAGTGGAGTTGTGCTTGCAATCAAGAAGATAGTGGGTTCAAATTCACCTTAGACACTTGCTAGTTGTCTTGGACAAGTCATTTGCCCTTTGGATGCCTGATTTTTATTATTTGGAAAATGATTAGGTTGGAAATAATGGCTTCTAACAGGCGTTCAAGCTCTAAATCTATGATCTTAACGATACCATGATGTATAAGAGAACTCTTTCCACTGAAGGTGAATACAGCTTCTTCTTCATTTCATTTTACATTTTCAAAAGTTGTGGCTACTGGTTTAAGGAATGAGGTATGCTTAGCTTAAAGAAGCTTTTTTTGGGGGGTGGTGCTAATATTTATTTATTTGAAGGGGTATCATAGAAGACAAATTAGACTTTTCCATAGAATATAAACTTCTTGAGGGCAAGAATGGCTTTACTTTTGTGATTCTCATTTTATCCGTGACTTTAGCATGCACAGTACAGTGGAAAGAACAATAGATTTGGAGTCAGATAATCTTGGTTCAAATCTTAACTGTATTGCTAGTTGCCTGGGTGAACCTGGAAAACTTATTAAACTTCTTTGGGCCTCAGTTTCCTTTGAGTGGGTTAGCCTAGATGACTTCTGAGTTCTTTTCTAGTGTAAACACTTAACCATAATGATTCTTGTTCAATCTCTGGTGCCTAATACAATAACGTGTGTATATGTATGTGTGTATATGTATACACATATACACATACATATATCATATTAATATATACATATATGATATATCAACATATGAGTATGTATATGTGTATACATACATATATACACACATGTATGTATGTGTGTTTATGTATATATTACATATAATGCATATTATGTATATGAGTGTATATTTTTTTCTCCTTTTTTATTTTTTATTTATTTATTTATTTTTAATACTAGATCAAACTGGCTTCTAACCTGTGGGTGACCAAAGCCAAATAGAGTAGACTAGAGACAGGAGACTCTTTAAACAGAAGTTTAATTTCAAAGTGAGGGAAATAGCTTGCAAGTAAAGTCCTCCTTCTTAAGAAGGAGCACTCACCCTCTTATGGCAAAGGTAGGGTTTTTTATATATTTGTTTATATTTTAACATGAGTTTTTAAAACTTTGGGTTACAAATTTTCTCCCTTCCTCCCTCCCCACCCACCTTCATTGAAAAGGAAAGCATCTCAATACAGGTTATAGGTGTGTTCTCATGCAAAACACTTCCTTAGTAGTCACATTGTGAAAAACTAAGTATATTTCCCTTCATCCTATTCTACCCCTCATTTATTCTATTCTCTCTTTTGACCCTGTCCCTCCTCAGACGTGTTTGCTTCTGATTATCCCCTCCCCCAATCTGCCCTCACCTCTATTAATCCCCTGCTCTCTTGTCCCCTTCCCCCCCCCTTATTTTCCTGTAGGGTAAGATAGATTTCCACACCCTATTGTGTATGTTATTCCCTCCTTAAGCCAAATCCTATGAGAATAAGATTCACTCATTCCCTCTCACCTTCCCCCATTTCCCCTCCACTGTAAAAGCTTTTTCTTATCAGTTTCATGTGAGATGATTTACCCCATTCTACTCCCTTTCTCCTTCTCCCAGTATTATCCTCTCTCACCCCTTAATTTTATTTTCCAGATGTCACCCCTTCATCTTCAACTCACCCTGTGCCATCTATCTATCTACCTTTCTATCTATCTATCTATCTATCTATCTATCTATCTATCTATCTATCTATCTATCTATCCATACATACATATATTTTTTCCCTCCCACTCCCTAATACTAACAAAGGACTCATGAGTTACAAATATCATCTTTCCATGCAGGAATGTAAACAGTTCGACCTTAATAAGTCTCTTATGATTTCTCTTTCCTGTTTACCTCTTCCCTGTTTCACTTGAGTCTTCTATTTGAGAGTCAGATTTTATATTCAACTCTGGTCTTTTCCTCAGGAATGCTTAAAAGTCCCGTTTCATTGAATGACCATTTTTTACCCTGAAGGATTATACTCAGTTTTGTTGGGTAGGTGATTCTAAGTTGTAGTCCTATGTCCTTTGCCCTCCGGAATATCATACTCCATGCCCTCCAGAAGCTGCTAAATCTTGTGTTATCCTGATTGTGTTTCCACAATACTTGAATTGTTTCTTTCTGGCTGCTTGTAATATTTTCTCCTTGACCTGGAAATTCTGGAATTTGGCTAAAATATTCCTAGGAGTTTTCCTTTGGGGATCTCTTTCAGGAGGTGATTCTTTCCATGGTGGATTCTTTCCGTTTCTATTTTGCCCTCTGGTTCTAAAATATCAGGGCAGTTTTCCTTGATAATTTCTTGAAAGATGATGTCTAGGTTCTTTTTTTGATCATGGCTTTCAGATAGTCCAATAAGTTTTAAGTTCTCTCTCCTGAATCTATTTTCCAGGTCAGTTGCTTTTCCAAAGAGATATTTCACATTCTCTTCTATTTTTTCATTATTTTGGATTAGTTTTACAGTGCCTTGATTTCTCACATAGTTGCTAACATTCAATTGCTCCATTCTAATTTTTAAGGAAGTATTTTCTTCAGTAAGCTTTTGGACTTCCTTTTCCATTTGGCCAATTTTGCATTTTAGGGCATTCTTCTCCTCATTGACTTTTTGGACCTCTTTTGCCATTTGAGTTAGGCTATTTTTTAAGGTGTTATTTTCTTCAGTATTTTTTTGAGTCTCCTTTAGCATCACTCCCAGTTTTTCTTCTACTTCTCTTGCTTTTCAAAATCCTTTTTCAGCTCTTCCATGGCCTGAGACCAATTCATATTTTTCTTGGAGGCTTTGGATGTAGGAGCTTTGGCTTCATTGTCTTCTTCTGGTTGTATGTTTCGATCTTCTTTGTCACCAAAGTAAGATAATATAATCTGACTCTTTTTGTGCTGCTTGCTCATGATCCCAGCCAATTACTTGAGTTACAAACTCTTTGTTAAGGTAGGGGTCTGTTTCCAGTGTGGAGAATGTACTGTCCCAAACTTCAGGGGTTTTGTGCAGCTGTTTTCAGAGATACTTCTAGGGACCTGTAAATTTTCAGTTCTTCCAAGGTGCTATGATCAAGGGCGAGGTGTTTATTCCTTTCCTGTCCTGTGCTCTGCTCTATGAGTGACCACAAGCACTCTTTTCTGTCTTGGAACTGTGAGGAGGATTTCCTTTCCACAGCCACTATAAGCTCCACCACACCAGCACTCCTCCTCGCCCCAGGACCAGCACCCAGAACTGTGACCCAGATCCAAGCAAGGCCAAAGCAAGAGAATCCTGCACCAGCAGAGAGATCCCTGCAATCACCCTCTGTCCCGCTACCCGATTCCCCCTCAGTCTGTAGGCTGGAAGCTTAGGAGGTAGCCAACACCCTGGGGCTGAGCTCAGGGAATGAGGCTGGGACCCTGTGCTTCTCTCTCTCACTGCAGACACAGACTTTTCCCACTGACCTTCTAAGTTGTCTTTGGCCTTCGTGGGTTGAGAAGTCTGGAAACTGCCACAGCTGCCTGTGCTTCAGTCCTCTGAGGCGTGCTCCAGGTTCGCTGTGGCCTGGGCACCCACACCAAACTGCATTCCTTTCCCAGCCCAGTGCGATATACCTTTCTGGTCAACCATCCAGGTTGTCTTGGGCTGGAAATTTGTTTCACTCTGTCTTTTTGAGGGGTTCTGCTGCTGTAGAATTTGTTTAGAGCCATTTTTTATAGATATTTGGAAGGGTTTGGGGGAGAGCTCAAGCAAGTCACTGCTTTTACTCTGCCATCTTGGCTCCAGCCCAAGGGTAGGGTTTTTAAGCATGAAAACCACAAATGGCTGGACCACAGCACAGGTATTCTTGGGTCTTGTGTGAATAGAATCAAAGTCATTAGGATCATTGAGCCTTGCAGTTGTTCAGCAGGGCACAAAACCAGGATTAGCATGGTCAGGAGCAGCAGTGGGACACCTGGTTTGGTTCACTTGGTGGTTACAATCAAGGGATTGTTGCCAGTTACAAGCATGGGGGATTATTGTTATGCCAACCTCAGAGTACAGTTTGCTTGATGGGCCTTAACTCTGGAAAACAGGGTATAATAGTACTTGACTATATATGTATGTATGTATGTATATGTACATATGACATAATAAATGCTAGTTTAATTAAATAAAATTCTTCTTAACTCTACTAAAAGCAGTGGGTGAAAATTGCAGGAATGAAGGATTCTGCTTGAAGTATTAACAAAAATTCTTCATAGCAATTAGAGCTGTTCCAAATTGGAAAGTGGTTGACTTATAAAGTAGTAAGCTCCCCATAACTAGTGGGCTTCAAGAAGAGAGCAAATGTTCCTCCTGTTTTTTGGATAACATTGTAGAGGAGATTCCAGTTCTGGTATAGATTTAGCTAAATGACCTCTGAGGTTCCTTCCAACTCTTAGGTTTTGTCCTTCTGTAAAGCCATTTAATGTCTTTGAGCCTCAGTTACTTCATCTGTAAAATGGGCATGATACTGGAGATGACCAGATTATAGGGCTATTATAAGAAAAGTACTTTGTTTAGCAGTACCAGATCTTAAAGTATATTATAAGGCAGTAATTATCAAAACTATCTGGTACTGGCTA